ATTTTAAACCTTGAACTGTTGTTGGTTGCTAGTTTTCCTATGAAGCCAAAACAGATTAGTAAATTGTTTCCACAGTTCATTTCTTCGTAACCCTTAGTTTGTATACCTATTTTTTATGTATTCTCCAAATTCCTTTGAATTTAGCATGAAATCTGGACTACAATAGAAAATTCCTCCATTATTACTCATGTCGACTTCTGTTAAACCTATTATAGATCTTTTAGATTCTGACCATCTACTATCATATAAAGTGATTAATACTTTAGTACCTAAATTTTTTCTAGTTAAACCTTTAAGTCTGATTACTACCAATCCCATATGCATGAGATTCATTCGCCTTTTTTGTATTTCTTGTATAGATTCTTTACTAATTAAATTTATGCTTTCACTATTGTTTTCTGACACACTCAACTGTTCTTCTCTATAGTGTCTGTATAAATGTGTTGTTGATGAGAAAAGTCCTGTGTTATAGAGAACTTGTGGATTTAATAGTTTTAATTTATTTTGCTTAAAAGTTTCTATGTCTCTGTCTACGTCTATTATTTCGTCTAACTGATGACTAGTTGGTCTAGATGATTTCATTAGTCGGGCTAGCATATTGTTTCCTAGTCTATCTTGAGAGAAACTGGTCCTTCTTTCTTGGAAACTTATGTTCCTGTTTGAAAAAAGGTTCATGCTTTATCTTTCTTTTTAAGTCTATCCTTTTGAGGGGTTATTTCGGTCTTTTTAAGTTGTTCTATTAATGTTTGCATATCGTTCTCTTGTTTAGCTTCTTCTTTAGAGATTTTATTTTCTAATAATCTATCCAATTTTTTGTTTATGTTAATTATTTGGTCTTCTAGGTTTTTATTTAGTTCTAATAAAGCAAAAATTATTAGATTATTTTGTTTTACACTTATAGAGTCTATTTTTCCTGGTGGTATGTAGTCTGATAATCCTTTAGGGTTGGCTTGAAATTAGGCTGTTTTTCTAAATACTTCTTGATAAAAGGCGTTGTTCATGAAAGGGTTAAGTCTTTAAGTTTGTTAAGTTCTTTCTTAATTTCTTTAGTTTTTTTATTAAGGCTTTCTAACTGGTTATTTATTATTTCTAGTGGACCGTTAATTATTTTATTTGCTACTATTGTTTGTATTTTGGAGATTATATCTAGTTGTTGGTTTTTTTAAAAATTAAAATTTTGTTCTATTTTTTCGGGGGTAATGATTTGTTTTGTTTGTGTTGCAGGTTTTCTAGTGCTTCAATTAGCTTTAGAAATCTATTGTCTTTAGACTGACTATGTTCTGCTAAATTTATTATTAAATCTGTAATAGTATTTAAATGTTGATTATCACTATGTAAGATATGGCCTCCTTCTGTGAAATTACACTTGATTACTGATCCAAATTTTAGTTTTCGATATTTCTTTTCTGAAACTACTTCTAAGTCTAAATATTCTAATTTTTTAATACTTCCTATGTTTTTATGCTAAATATAACGTTCTGTTTTCCCAATTTAGTTTTTCTATTCTAAGTTCTTTTATGTAGTGGTAAATTCTAGCTCCTATCGTAGGTATTTGTGAATCTAGCTGTCTAATTCGTTCGTGTATAGAAGTTATTTCTTGTGTTGTAAAAATGTCTGAAAACAATTTTATCTGTTCTATATATAGTTGTTTTTGTTCTATTAAGTGGTCGTAGATATCTGAATAATTTTGTCTTATTTTTAATAGATACCAATGATTTTCTTGATCAATTACAATCTGTTTTTCGTATGGTTTAAACCTTTTCTTGTATATTCTAGAGGGCATGTATTCTGTTTTTATTACGGTTTGTTTATCCTAGATGGAAGGTTAGGTTACTAATATATTGTTGCTGGACTCGTATGCGTCTACTTGCGTTTTGAATATCACTATCTATACTATGTAATTTCTACTTTAGCGCACTTATTAGTTCTAGATTGACTAGTGTTGGTCTGTTTGACGTATATAGACCTCCGTGATTGCAAAGTCTGTCTGATAAGTCTCTAGTATTTAGAACTAGTAGATATAGACTTAGTGCCTTTTGTAGTGTCAACAATTCTGTTTTTATATGTATTTCTCTATATAAGTACCAATATTGTAATCATAACTGATTAGCAAAAGGGTGTTTTTTCATATAATAATTCTATCTTTACTTTAGGTTCCCAAAAACTTTAGGCTCTGATACCAATATAAAATACGTTTAAATAAAATATAAAATACGTTTAAATAAACTAATAGATAAGAATTTAGATAAAGATGATGTATGATGCAGTTATAAATTCTAGTTGTAAAATCCTACTCAATACTCCCTCTTCCTGTTCCGTTATCTAGTTTAGTAGCATTTTGTTGCTAAATCCACGTAATTTCTCCCAAAATTACTTTTATTTTTTATTTTTTTATTTTTACCTTACTCTTTTCATCTCTTTTCTTTAACCCAAATTCTTAGCACCTGCTTCTTTAACCACATCCTGGGATACACAGTCCTTTTGGTTTTCTGATCATGGCAGACTTTCAACTCCCTAGGTATTTACAGGTTAATCTATCGAGGTTACTAAGAAGGTAAAGAACTAACCATTTACTAAGAGTAATTTAAAGAGTAATTTAAAGAGCATATGAATATGTTAACTTGATAATATGAACATTATATTATACATAATACTATTCATACACATAACAGTACATATTTATACAGAGAGAAAATTACTTAGATCTAGAAAACAGATAGCTACATACATGATAATGGTCGGAATGAGGTTTCCCTTTTGGGAGTCCCCGGGTGACCTTGCAGGTACTTGTAGGAAAATAAACACTCACACTCTTTGTACAAACACAACAAACTCTCACACTCTTTTTATTTTTGAAAGGGAAGGGGAATATGTAAACTATTACTTAGAATCAAGCCTTTGCCGTATGCTTTGCTCTCTCCGCTCTATCCTTCTTGTGGCAAATGGCCCTCTATTTATAGCTGAGGATTCGGATTTGAAATTCGGATTTCAAAATTTGAATAAACTTTCTCACCTGCCGGGTGCTCTTTGGGCCCCATCGTCACATGGCTTGTGAAGCTTTTCCAATTTTTAGTGGTCCTTCTTTGTCTTCTTTAGTGATGTTGTCTTTGTAGTAGTGGAGTTAGTAGTGGAGTTGTCCTTTCTTTGTCTGATAGTGGAGTCTTAGTGGAGTAGTAGTAGTGACTTGTGATGTCATTGCTTACATATATTTTTTTGTCTTCTTTTGTTGACATCATTGCTTACGTATTTGTATTTTCTAGGTATCCAAGTTGTGTAGTGCTTCAAAATCAAAACTCATTCCTGAATCATCATCGTTATTTAGGTCGTAGTGTTGAGTAAAATGGTCTATTGATGGATCGTTCTCATCACTTCTACTTCTTGTGCTTCCTGTGTCTTCAGGCTCAAAATCTGCTGGTTCTGGATTGGGATTTTCTCATATAATTTTCTCTTGTATAGTCTCCTTTGTTTTTTCTTTAAGTAATTTGCAAAGGGAATTTTTGTTATTATTTTTTCTATTTTTTTCTTTTTTGTAAAAAACTCTTAGCTTTTCTGCTTGTCTCTGCCATCGTATTGAAACTTGCTGGCAAAATTCTTATACTTTTTGGCAAAGTGTCAGCCATCAACGGATTTGATGAGTCTTTACCCGTTATCGTTTGATCGGGACTAGCTGTACCTTTAGCTGGTACAATAGTTTTTTCTACATTCGTTGGGGAATATACACCCGTCTTATCCATTTTGAAATGAGTTGGAGAACTCTTTGGTTGTTCTTTGGGATAGTATGGTATTTGTGATGGTATGGTTTGATTGGTAGGTCTAAGTAAAAATTGTATCCTTTCTTGTAGTGAGTGGATATGTTGAGTCATTTTTCTTTTCTCAATCTCTAGTTTCTCGATTGTCTGGTTTAGTCTTTTAAATCCCTGTCATTGAAGAACAATGATTGCAAAAAATTATTTTATCAGTGTCTTTTTGGATATTGTATTGCAAAAAGGGTCTTGTAGTTTGTCGTAGAGCTGGGCTTATGAAATAATTTGGCCCAAGAGTTCCTCTAGCGTAGTCTAGTGCTTCATTGAAATCGTTGAATCCTTTAAAAAGTGGGGTAGGAATGTCTTTGATTGAGTCTATTACTTCTATCCATGTCTGAAAAACTCCTAGTATTCTTCCTTGGACTACTACGTAGAATCTGAATTTTTTGTCTTCATTTTTGTCTGTAAAGTAGTGGCTTAAAGAATTCACCACTGAGATGAAGTAACTATTGTCTCTAGGAACTTTGTTGTATGCTATCCACAAATTGTCTATTAGGCATCTTTGTGGTTTATCTATCTTTGTTTCTGGTTTTACCCTGAAACTTAGATTAGATGGGGGATAAAAAATTAATTTTGTTTCCCAAAGTATAGTCTCTCGGTGCTTGCAGTATTTAGTCTTGTTTCTTCTAATCTCGTCTGTGGCTGAAATAAAGTATTTCTCAATAGAGTCTGTAGATGCAAGTCTTTGTCTTTTTGTCCATTGTTAGCTGAACTGGGACGCCTTGTCTTTGCCTGTACTCATTTCTGAAAATAAACAATTAGTTTTCATAAGTCTGCTTAGCTGATCTGCTAAGGAATTGTCTTTTCCCCTTTATATGTTCTAGAGATATATTGTATATTGATGTAGCATCTAAAAATTTTAGCCATCTTCTTTTACTACTATTTTTTCCCTCTATTTTCTGATGGAATTTCACAATAGCCTCGCAGTCAGTTCTTACCAAAATTTCTTTTTATTAATAATATATAATTTAAAACTGTTTAGTCCATAAATGACAGCTAAAATTTCTGCATCTATACTACTCATATTTCATTTTCTTTGTACTTTCCACTGTGATAGGCGCAAATTTTTTCGTCTTTCTTGTCTCCGTATTTATTGTTCTTTGTTTTTAGTACTGCTCCCCATCCTTCTAGACTTCCGTCGGTTTCTACTATAGGGTAGTCGCTTTCTAGTGGGAGGGCTAAATCTGGTATATTAAAATCGAAAGCATATCCAACAAAATCAGATGGTGATAACGCTTACAAAAATACATGAAAGTTTGAAACAAATCATACATAAACACAAGCTCATAAAGCCAAAATATCATACATGCATTTGGAAAGCTGTAATAATACATGAAGAAAGAGCAAAAGGCATATACATACAAATACTACACTTAAATATCCAAATCTTATATATTGAATTATAACAAAAAGTAGAGCACAAATAAAAAATAATTTCACAAGTAGGCATAGATTCTACACCATTGATCTCTAGTAGAAGTAGAATCAACGATTTAGATGGTCAGCAAGAGAAAACTAAGTAAAACTTACCAACGAAGAGACCCCAAATATCATTTGAGATTTTTTGCGGTAGTACCACAAATCGATCAAAAAATTCAATTACATGTGAATGTAAAGCAAGTGCTAAATATGATAGCATGGAAGAAGCATCTCAAGTAAAAAAAACTTTAGAATAAAATTGGAGGAAACCACATTCTCCACAATGTTTTAGCAAAAGGAGGCAACATATATTCTTCTAGCTTTAAAAAATAGTCTAGGAGAAGAAAAATCATAGTAACTAATTCCATGTTCCTTTCCTACGCATGTATATTAAAATAAAAAGGGAAAAGGGCTCAAAACAACCAGAATTGAAGCATAGAAACTTAAACTCAATTCATTCAACACTCTATTTGATCATTAGGCAACGAAAAATTAACCTACTTTCGGATTGTGATTCTGCATGTGGTTTAGTATGTTTTAAGGGCACTCTTTAGAGCAGGAGCAGGAGCGGGAGGAAGAGGTGTAGTGGTGCTGGCGACATCTCCATTGGCGGAAGATGGCGGCAGCCGGAAGAGGCAAATCTTCGAACAAGTCTCTGACCATTTTGTGATCTGCATTTGTATCTATAAACAACCCAAAGAAGACTATAGTTATTGAATGTTTTTGAGATGCAGGACATCGGATGATGATTTTGGGTCTCTTACTCGAAGATGACATCGAAGTCTCCCCTTACTATTACCTATGGATCAAATATGCTCTCTTGGGCTACCACTATGACCCTCAAATATCACTCTCTGAGCTCTCCTCCATCTCTCTTTACACGCCACGTTTGGTGGAAGTTGTCAAAGAAAGGCCTAAATGAAATGCAATTGAGTTCTTCAAACACATTCATCTAAACACATCATATCTTCATCAGCTGCCTTGCAGTTGGGGCGCAGTGTTTTTCCCCCAACCAATGGAAGGAGTTCTATGTCTACATGAACATGAGATTCACGAAAGATCCAAAGCAAAATCCATACAGACACCAAAATCAAGAACTAATGAATGGCAAACTTCATGGAAGAAGTTCTTGATAGACATGATGTAGTTAAGAGGATACGTTAGCCTTTATCCGAACTTTCCAAATCAAATGAGCTTTTCGACAAACCATATGGAACCAGGAGCTCACATAGCAGCTAACAATAATTTAGTTAAACATAACAAGGCAGATTTTGAGGTGCCATTACTAAAAGAAGACTTTAAGAACCTCTTACCTAATGGGAAAATGGCTCAAGCTTCGAAGTTACCTTCGTTGAATCTCTTTAATCAACCTGTTTCATTAAAAGGCTTAAAGACAGCAGGAGCAAAACTTGGGACAGACGTACTATAATGTAGTCCAACGGAGATAGTATCTGTTCACCACGATACAGGTTTACCATCACATTGTGCAAGATTCTGATTACAAATTACAATTCTTTTTATTTATGTGATTTGTGTCAATTACATCATTTACCACTTCAACTTCTGTGTCCTTTCCACCAAAGTCGTTGACTCATAGGAATAGATGGTGCATTTAATTTCCTGCACTTTACCTCTAATGACATGTTTCTCATCACCTAGAACACTTCATTCTTTTTTCTTTTTTTTTTGTAGTGTATTCTTACATAAGACTAATTATATAATAATGATCAACAACAATCTATTCTTGATAAACAATATATCGTTTCTCAATTATTTGAATTTTAGGCGTAATTTGTATTACCCGAGAACTTTCAATAGTAACATGAAAGTACAGAAAGCTTAACGATCTAAAACGGCAAATACAACTCAGTCTAATATTAAAAAGTGAGTAACAATCATCTTCGATAGACCTTTATAGAATGAAACAGGTCAATATGTTTTGAAAACAATTGTCTTTTCCATGAAAAATCTTAAAGCTCCTTTTAATATGCTCCTCGAAGTTATAGTTGAAACCGCAAGAGGAAAAACTGTGCAACTTTTATTGGATAAATAATTAGTTGACTCGAGAACTTGTTTCAAAATTTGTTTGTATTTTGACTAAAGGTTGCAATTTAAACATTACCTTTATTGTTTACTTGATTAACACTAATCAATATTTTTTAAAATAGAAAACACACTCACCATAAATTTGAAAATAAGTCCTGCAAATTCATCAAGAAAAAGTATAACCGCAAAGTAAACATCACAAAAATCCTAAATTACTTAGTATACTTAAATCATTGAGTCCTTCTCCTTTCATTTAATTTTAGCACAAAGAGGTTTATATAGTGAACTTATACCAAGAGGGGAAAAGTCGAAGGAAAGCGAAAATCGAATGACTTTCACAAATTGACAAAATATAAGTGTATTACGTACTAACCTTTGAAAATTTTGCTGACATAGACTTCCTCTATGCTCTTCGAGTTTTCCTAATGCCATTGACAACTATAAAATTGACAAAAAGAACAGTCACATGTAAAGAATCTGTTAACAAAAGAGCCAAAACACTTGAGTAAATTCTATTTTATTCTGTGAAAGCTTCTCACCGATATTAGAGCAGAACTAAACCCTAGGAACTGAAACAACACATCCATTAGAACGGAATGTTATCGCAGATAGAAATCACGGGAGAGCGCAAACAGAGAGAATGGTGAAAGAAAAACTCAGAGAAGAACGAACTGAGAGAGTCGTAGAACAGAGAAAGGAAAAGTGTGGACATTCGGTCCTTTCATTGAAGAAGTGAAGAACTTCGTAGAAGAGAAAAGTGAGGAAGAATATTGTTATCACACTTGTAGTACACGTGTTGCCATAAAAGTAATATAAAGTAATAAGATAAAATTACAAAATTATCCCTAAAAGAATACAACTATTGGTGCATTTTGTACAATTGCATATAGCAGTGTTTGTACACCCTCAAGTGCCTAAAAGAATACAACTATTGGTGCATTTTGTACAACTGCATATAGCAGTGTTCGTACACCCTCAAGTGCCACTTCTAATAAAGAGTAATAATTAGGTTGAGTTGGGCTTAGAAATCCTCATCAACAATAATTCCTTTTCTATCTAAAATAGTCAATTTGAACCTAAAAATTCTTATTAACAACATATATAGGTTTGACTTTAACAAAATCATTATTTTTGGCTTGGTATTCTCATGTCTATGTTGCGTGAACCAATTTAGAACATGTTCGGCCTAAATTCCCATTTCTAACTTGAATTCTCCATACCTACCAAATATGATCTACTCATCATCCGATTTTCCATAATGTGTTATGCGAGGCACTTGAGTATTCTCCATACCTACCAAATATGATCTACTCATCATCCGATTTACCACAATGTGTTATGTGAGGCACTTGAGTGATCTTTGTGTGACACATCGGACACTCAATCTTACCATATGTGAGCTACATTTGGAGAAAACACCTAACATGAATGAGGTGATTGCATGACAAAAATGTCACCACGTCATTCTCCCGATCGAGAAAGGGATAGTCACAGCAGGAAGACCACATGTTGATTACACATGTTGACTACAAAGATAGTTTCAAACCAATCTGACCCTACCATAGTCTGACTTGCTACTTGAACATGAGCATATGAAGGAAATGGTTTGAAATCATACACTATCCATCCTTTAACAGTTTTGTCACACGTAGGACGGGGAATGTTGTTGGGAGAGCGTTATTTTTGTGGTTAACATTGAGTACACTCTCCTTAAGACATCGCCGATACATGACACGCCTAAAACAAGGCATACCAAAGGCAAGTTCATCATTATCTTTGATAAGTTGCTTACACGACGGACAAGTTGCACTCCTCAACCAAGCAAACAAAGATATTTTCGAGGTTTTAGATAATTAAATAGTTTATGTCTTTGTTTTTCTGCCGGACCCTTGGGACATAAGAGCTACTACAATATATAACATAGTTCTTCCACTTCTCCATCCTTAGATAGTAGTATTAGCTAACAAATGAATAAAATAAAAGGAACAACCTAGGAAAGATGTCGTACATTAATTACTGTTTACTATGGGGTCGTTCAAATTATGATGAAATTGGTTATGTTGAGAATATTTATCAGTAAATGCTTGGTTTGTTGTATTATTATTAATAATATGCATGGTAAAATTTTAAAAAATAAATTGTTTGTTTATATAAGTACTCTACATAAATGTAAAGAATGTGAAAAGTAGTGTATAAAAAGGGTCAAGAATATAAAAAGTGATGTATACAAGGGTCAAGAATGTGAAAAATGATGTATAAAAAGGTTTTAGAGATATTTTTACCATTTTAACTATTATCTAATAAGTTATCACAAGATTATTGTTCCACCGAGAGACGGAATAACTTATCACAATACTAATTATCAATCTTGAAATAAGTTATCTCAAACTTTATAGCAAAACAAGGAATTAAGGGATCGTTCAGTGTGATGGATAAGATGAATTAATCTTGGGATAACTTTTTAGTGGCCTTTAATTCATTGTTTGGTTGCAAAGATAGGGATAACTTATCCCAGGATTAATAATTAGTCCTGAGATAAGTTATCCCTCACTGGGGGTGGTATAGTAATCCCAGGATAAGTTATCTTGGGATAAGGTGTGTAAATTAACAAAAATACCCCCTTAAACTCTCTTTTGTTGAGTTGCAATTGATTTTATTCTGAGAATCCTGATTAATCCGAAAGGGGCATCTCATATCATATCGCCTTGGGAGAGCAGAGTCTCTGCTATTACCATTTGGGTTTGGTCATGAGATATACATTCTTTTGTTGTTAGTTATACATTCTCAAAAAAAAAACTCTCTTTTATACACCACTTTTACATTCATACATATTAACATAATTTTTAACAATATTTATAATAACATTCACAACCTTAATTATTCGTTGTTATTATGATAAATATATATTTATATTAAAAAAATACATTTTATAAATACAATTTTTATTTATGAATATATTATAAGTTGAATTTATTTGTGTAATTATTATGTTTATTTATATTTTGATTTCTCTTAAAATGTTCACTCCACTACTAAATTACATATTTTTCATTAAATAGTTTATTACTCACTTAAAAATTATATTTTATCTATAAGTAAAATATAGATAACTTTATAAATTTTCTTTTACTTTAATAAACTTAAAATGAAAGTTTTATTTTTAAGTCTAAATAAGATGAGAGTTTTATTTTTTAAACTAAATAAGATGAAAGTTTTATTTTTAAGCTAAATAAGATGAAAGTTTAATTTTTAAACTAAATAAGAGAAAGTTTAATTTTTAAAACATACAGCACAATCATGGAAATGCACACACAAAAATATTTAAGCTAAATAAGATGGAATTTTTATTTTTAAGAAAGAATAACTAAAGCTTGCAAAGAAAATGTAAAAAAGAAAAACTAAATAAGGTGAGGGTATTTTTGTAAACAAACAACTTATTCTCAAAATTTATACAAGGAATATTAGTTTGAATATGACAAACCAAACAAGCAATATAAACTAATCCCATCATTACTAGTATTCAAACCAAACGACCCCTAAGGGATATCCCTTTATCCAACACACCAAACATGTCCTAAAAGACTTGGAGTACTTCATTGTGAAAAGTAGTGGATATTATCTTATATTTTTATGAGGTTAACTACTATCCACTGACAGTGGACAAGATAATTACACCGTCAACTCATTTTTAGAAATACTTATTTCTCTTAAGATATTCATGTATTATTAATATTTAAATAAAAAAACAAAAGAATATTATATGATAATTTGGACTCTAAATTAATTATAAGAGTTTGTTTAGGATTCTTAATTGGCTTACCAAAAATACGAAAAAAACATTTAATTTTGAAGTAAATAGTTTTTTTGGCGTGAAAATGGCACCAGATTGTTGTTTCCAGACTATTATTTAGGTTTTATCTGACGTTGATAAATTATTGACCTAACTCATCGGTGACCTCCTAAAGTTGACACCAATTTTCACTTAGACCCCTTAACTAAACTTTTTGTATAATTTTAAAGGTCAAACCCATCGGTAGCCCCTTAAAGTTGACACCAATGTTCACTTAGACACCTCAACTAGGTGATGTATATTTTAAACTCCTCATATAGGTTTCTGCTGTGTCATTTTGACACTTTTCGCTGACTCAACAAAACATGTGTATTACACGAATTTGATGTGCATGAAATATTTTTTTTCTTGAAAAATATTTTTGCTCTCTTCTTCTTCCTCACACTTCTTTTCCTACAACTTCTCCACCTTCCATCAACCTCCATCACCACATAACTTTTTGAAATAATTCTACAAAATTTTGTTGGGTTACATCATAATCCAATTTCTTAAACAAAAGAGTCAATTTCTTTAGCAACCTCACTAGAAAAAAAAGAAGACAATCATCATTTTCTAAGAATTTGTGATACTCTTTTTCTTTTTAAAATCAAATCACATAAATTTTAAGCTCTACTACTACAACTAAATAAAAAACTTTTGCCCCCAAGTATAATGAAAAGTTCTCTTAATTTTCAGTTTTCTTATTGCAAATTACCACAAATTTCTGGATCATTAACAACAAAAATTGGAGGAATAAGCTATTACACCCCTTGAACAACATTTTCCCATAGCATTTATAACTAAATCCCCATTTTATTCCTCATCTTCACCATATATAAATAATATTGTTATTTTTCTTTCAAGTTGCATTTCAATTTTCAAGAAAGGAGGAATTAAGGAATTTAACACAATGAATCAAAATTTTGTATTGCACAAGAACACATGAATTTTAATGGGTTTGAAAAAGAATAACACAAATAAAGAACTAAAAGGCATAAGAAAATGAGGTTAGATATTCTGAAGAAAAAAGAAAGTAAAAGTGAGTTTTTAAAAAAATATAAAAGAAAATTCCACATGTCACATGTTGATTAATTTATTTTTCCACGTAGGAGGCGTTTTGATACACACTTAAGCTAGTTTTAAAAATATACAAAAAGTGTCAAAATGATATCACAGACCTCCACATGAGGTGTTTAAAATGTTAGTTAAAGGGTCTAAGTGAAGATTTGTATCTACTTTAGGGGGCCACCGATGGGTCAGATCATTAAACTATATATATTGAAAACATGCAACCCTTTATAGACACTCTAGGCAATTGAAGACTGTAAAATAGGAAATTTTGATTGACAACTTAAATAGGGCGGCAGCCGGCAGAAATGCAAGCCCCCGACCATTGGTCCTATCTAAATACATGTGTTGCTCGTTGTGCTCTAAATACTTGGTTATTATAAATATAACTCAAATAATTTAAGTGAAGAATTTCTACAGACAAGAGGTTTACATGTTTGATTTTAAAATTAAAAAAATATATTCAAAATTGAGTCATATTCTAATGGAGTTTAATTTAATTGAATTTAAAGTCATAAATGATTCGACTTTTAACTTAGTTCAAATAAAGTAATAATTTTAAAAGTAAAATTTTAGTCAAATTTAAAGTACTAAATATCAGGAATTCTTACCACTTACAAATCTATTTTAAATTTAAATAGTGTCCTTATATAAATCAAGACTATATTAGGAGTTCTTACCTATTCCAAATTAGTAAAGATTTGGTAATTATAAATTTCATTAATTTCAAAATATTAAATATTAGAATAATACTTTAAAATACAATAATTTTTTAGGAAAACGATGAAAAGACTATTTTGTCTAAAACGAATTCTTTTAATCAATGACAAAAAAGGATCTTCATGCTATTAATAGCTTTTAATATAATATAATATATAGATTGATAAATCGTCACATTTGTAATTAAAATTATATTTG